GCACCTTCCCTCTGACTTCACCCTCCTCCTTTTCCTTTATTTCTCCCTTGTTCTCACTTCTGATCGTTTTACCTTTACATCAGATCAGAATATCTTCTGATCATTTTATTTTTCTTAGAGGAGTGGTCTAGAGGAAGTCGACCCTTCCCCAGGACATCGCTGTGCGGGTTTTAGCTGCAGTAACTAGGATGTCCCTGATGTGTTTATCTGCCGGTGTTTGTCCTTTATTCAGCAGAAATGTTCTATTTCTGCAGCAGTTGGTTGTGTGTTATGCAATCACCTCCCATGAGAGCAAATTGGAAAGGCTTCATAAAGTTCTGGGGCAGATGTCATAAATGCAAGTGCGTCGGTGGTGATGGCAACGATAACGCCATCCGTTAATCCGGAGGTTACATAATCCTGAGACTGATGGCCTCAGACTCCTTTTTATTCACTTATTGCCTGAGGATATGAGCTGTGCTCTCCCGATTTGCAGGTGAGTAAAGTGAGACTGTCCTGAGAGGAAGGAGTCGGCCGGGGTGTGGTAGAGGGGAAGAGGGGTGTTCCAGGCAGAGGGAACAGCGTGTACGAAGGCCTAGAGGCAAGAGAGAGAAAAAAGGTGGGTCAGCAAACAGCAGGTGCTCAGCAAACAGCAGGTGCTCAGCAAACAGCAAGTCGGCCTCCAGGTGCCGGGCCTCAGTCTGTGCAAAAGTGAGAAAACAGCAAGAGCTGAGTCCAGCAGGAGCCTGGGGCCTGAGGAATTTGGGGAGGGGACACTGGCTCTAAGTAGCCAGGGTTTGGGGAGCCCTGGAGGGGTAGCTGGGGGCAGCGGCTGGCACCGGGTGGAAGACAGACTAAGATGCAGGCTCTCAGCCTCTTTGAGTAAGAAAATCTCGCAGCCCGAGTGTTTTCTCCTTGCAGATAAGAGCAGAGGAGAGGAATTTAACAAAGAAAACTGCCAAGTTTAAGAAAAAGGGACACAACTGTCGTGCAGTTGCCACCAGGTCACAAAGTGTCAGTCAGACAGCTACTCAGAGTGACTTTCTTTCTAGAGGCTCTCAGTGATTTTCATGGGTAGGGACAGCCATCCTGAAGTGGGGCGTCTTCTCACAAGACCCTGCGGTTAGGAGATGACGTGTTCAAGGAGGAATCTCTCACGCAGGGGCAGGTCTGCAATCCTGCGGCTGCGTGGAAGAGGGAGAGAACGTTTTCCTGGAATTTCGCTCCTAGGCAGTTGGGGGATCTAGTTTTCAGAGCTGCTGTTGGCAAGGGGGAAAGGCGATTCGGACACCCCAGAGTGACAGTGTGGGCAGGAGCGGGACTGAACAGGATTGCGGGGCCAAGAGGGAGTGTTACACTCATATCCGCAGTCTCTGTCTCATCCCGGGCAGCTCTATCTAGGAGGACGGTGGGCATGACGCTCAGTCCGGGGGCACTTCAGAGCCCCAGTTCAGCGCACGCCTTGCCTGCGTGAAGTCCTGACACGCGGGACCCACTTGAACCCTCCTGACCTCCTGAAGGAGGATGTCACCCATTTTACAACTGAGGAAAGCCGAGGTTCACCTGGGTGACTCCAGGAAGGGAGGGCAGGGATCTGAGCCCAGGTGTGCCGGCCCCAAACTGGGTAGACAGGGGCCTGGGTTTCCGTGTTGCCGTTGGGGACTCTGCCCAGCCGTTCTGGAGAGGAGGAGGAGGCCAGGCCTCCTCCAGCAGGAGAGGGACCACTCCCCATCCCATTAGCCTCCCAAATAGAGCAGACAGAGGGCCACCACGTGAGCAGAGCTGCCACCACCTGCTTAACTCTTCCCTGACTCCCCACTCCTGAGAGGTGAAGTCACAGCTCTGCCCTGTCCTCAGCACCTGGCTGTGAGCCTCACTTTTGCACAGACTGAGGCCCAGCACCTGGAGGCTGACCTGCTGTTTGCTGAGCACCTGCTGTTTGCTGAGCACCTCCCAGCCCCCTACCTCCTGCTCCCAGGCCTGTGCTCGGGCACTCCCTCCCCCTGGAAGGGCCTCTGCCCTCCTCTGCCTGCAGACACCCCCACGACCCCGATGATGCACTGATGCCAGGCAACAGGCAGTGTCCAGGGAGGAACAAGGAGCCTCCAGATGGCTCACGGAGGGACCCTAACACAGGGAGTTGGTCACAAAGGCATCAGAAGGGCAACAGGCGCAAAACAGGTTGGCGGTTTACCCCCAGACAGAGGCTGCAGACATCCCCGCCACCCCCGGGCTGGAGCGGAGGGGAGGGGTATGTGGGGGCCAGGATCCCACATGCGTGCGCGTGTGTGTGTACGTGTGTGCATGCATGCTCCAGCCCCCATGGGGCCAGGACCCAACAGGCGCCGGCTCCCCGCCTACCACCAGGCCCCAGTGAGGACTGGGGGGTTCAGGGGGCAAATGAAAGTACGTGTTTGCTCGTGTGTGTGCATATGTGTCTATGGGTGCGTGCACGTGTAGTTGTGTCTCTGTGTTTGTGTGCGTTCACACGTGTGTGCATGTGTGTGAGCACGTGCACGTCTGTGTCTGGGGGCCGGGTGACGCATGCGCTTGTGTGTCTCCCTGTGTATATATGCTTGAGTGTGTGAGCTTGTGTGTGTACGTGTGTCTGTGCACATGTGGGCTTCTGTGTGTCTGTCTCCTTGTGTGCGTGTCTGTGAGTACATGTATGCATTGTAGGGGTGCTCGCACACGTGTTTCTGTGTGAGCTGTCCCAGGGCCCTGGGCACCAGCCTCCCTCCTGCTCCCCCAGCGTCTGGCAAGTGTCCGTGCTCAGGGACAATCCTTTGCCTTCGGGTCTGTCGTTTCTCCTCCTGGGCCACGAGCTTTGCAGACGCAGGGCCGGGTGTGGCTCAGCCCCGGAGCTCTGGGCCGGGGAGCCTGTGCTGTACTTGGCTTCTCTTGGCCTCCAGGGCGTGGAGACGCATCTGGGGAAGCAGCAGGGCTGTGATGGGGAAGCTCACACCCATCACGGCCACCTCTTGCACATCACACTGGCTCCCAGGGCCTTGGTTTGAGAAATGCAGCTATTGAGGGGCTTCCCTGGAGGCGCAGTGGTTAAGAATTCACCTGCCAATGCAGGAGACACAGGATCGAGCCCTAGTCCGGGAAGATCCCACATGCCGCGGAGCAACTAAGCCCGTGCGCCACAACTACTGAGCCCGCGTGCCACAACTACTGAGCACGCGTGCCTGGAGCCCGTGCTCTGCAACAAGAGAAGCCATCACAGTGAGAAGCCCGCGCACCACAAGGAAGAGTAGCCCCTGCTCGCGGCAGCTAGAGAAAGCCTGCGTGCAGCAACGAAGACCCAACGCAGCCAAAAATAAATAAATTAATTTAATTAAAGTAATAAATTTATTTTTTAAAAAAAGAAAAGAAATGGAGCTATTGAGTCCCAGTGGAGGTTGGTGCAGGATGGAGCAGGTGCTCCAGTGTGGGTGCTCCTCCCCCCACCCTGTCCTGTGATCCCCAGAGAGCTGTCCCCTCCCTCCCCTTCAGGTCTTACCCTGTGGCCCCTGCAGGCGTTTCCCAAGCCCACTCTGCTTGCTCGAGGCTCTGTCCCCACCCGAGGTCCCCAGGTCAGAGCCCTAGACGCTGCCACCCCCGTCTCTCCTCCCAGGACCTGTTCAGCTCTCTAAACAGGCCCCTTGCGGAGCCCTTTCCTCCTCTCCATGAGCCTGCAGCCCAGGGCCGGACCGAGGCCTGGCCTCCCTGGGGCCCCCCTGCCTCTGCCCCACGGCAGCTGGCCTCAGCCCTCCTGAGAGCCTCATCTTGTCCAGCGGCCTGGTGGTCTCAGGCAGGGCTGGCTGTGTACTTTACAGGGTCCAGTGCAAAATGAGAAGCGTTTAACAATTGGGACAAACCCTTTCTTCCATGGTCTCTCTTCAGCTGTCACGGTGTCTTTATGAGCTACTAATGTCATACTCCCTGTGCACAGGGACACAGGCAGGGTGGACGCAGACCTCCCAGGCTCCCAGGGCCTCAGGACTCAGCGCATGGCCACCCAACCTTGACTCTCCCCAGGCCCAGGCGCCCCCCCCCCCCCCCCCCCCCGCGGGGGA